GGTTTCAGTGGAGGAACCAGGAATCTGCGTAGGGAGGGGAACGAACAACTCGAAGCATGTTGACTTGAGAGCGCTGTGGCATCAGATGATATAAAAAAATAAAGTGAATAAGAATCAGAGATGGCCGTAGGACGGAGTATTATGTGATACGGAACATGAACAGGAAGTGGGTTGACTCAATATGCTCTCTCAATTTTGGGCCTGGAACCTCAGCCATATTCTGGTTACCCGATATTATCCGGCTACTAGTCCGACTCATTTGAGCATCTGCGTTCATTGACACGTTGTGGAGCATCCTTGTGCTTACAGTCTGAGGTGACGTCCGAGAAACTCCTAGACGTAGGTCAAATAGGGTGGGTGATACCAAACGACTGCTTACTTTCCGGCAGGGCTCAGAAGTGCAAAGGAGAGTTCCCTTATCCCAGAAGTTTTCGGTGATTTACCAGACCACCTGACTTCACCAGTATGAACGTCGTACTGTGGTGCACCCACGTGACTGGTGATCAATGGAGAAGACAGCCCACTTGACCGATTTTCATGAGCGCGGACTAGTGAGCTATGTTTTACTGTCGCTCATGAGTATCCGCCGATTACGTAGGTGAAATTGGGTATGTTGTAAAGGTTTCATAGTAATATTTTATACAGTCTACAGGACTACGGTTAATATTAAGGCAGCCATGTTTTACACACTTTTCTACACATCATTAGAATGATCACAACCAGAATAACTCAACCATAGTTTGCTAGCTGTAAAAACATGTGCGGTGTTTGTAAATATAACCAGATGGGACCTACGCTCTTCAGCGTAATTTGTTTCCACAGAAGGGATAGATAAAGGAAGGAAGCTCAGGAAGTCCGATGACCCTCTTACCATTTGCTGGGTTTTAATGACTCCAAAGTGACCAGCACTGAAAGTAAAACTGTCTAATCACACTGTTCTATCCAGAGGCAGCAAACTTACGGCAGTTAGTGAAATTGCGGAAGATTTCGTACTGTTTTAGGGAACAATGTGAATTAAGAATGCTGAGATATATTCTCATCAACAGCGAAGTACGTGCTGCGTCACGGGCTAGTCGGGCTACGAATCCTGTCTTCAGCTACAAAAAAGAGGCTACTGTGTGCATTTAGATCCTTTAAAATGGCAAATCATAATCGTTATATATTTGTACAATTCGGAACAGTCGTTTGCACGTGCTGTGTTGTGCTTCCAGTCTTTTCAACACAGATTGACCTCAGTTACAAGGTGAAATTTCTATTGGCAACTTGAGGCCTTCTCACTGCCTACAAGGTATGACGAGTAATCTAGATTTCCATTCCAACTCAGGGAATCAGAAGGCATGAATAATAACTAGTTGAACAAAATATGTCTCTTACTTTTCTAGGATACTTGCTTCTAGCTTGTGTATAAACTGCCCTCCCATTCGTCAGACAGAATGAAGAGCCATACTTTGTAGATTAAACCAAAGTATCGATATTCGCTTCATCATACTCCTTACCAAGCGCCTCACAAACCCAGGGCTTTCTTCTGGCATGAAACTTTTTGTGAGATGACTGTTTCATCGGCATGGGAAAAGTGTTTATTTCTAGGATGAATTTGTTCTTTTGCATAGGCATGGTCTTGGAGAGCCTTTGACAGTTTCGCTGTTTTTTCTTTTCCAAACTGTCGGTTAGTTCAACCTCTGTAATTAGCAGATGACATGGCAACATATATGCGCGTTCTCGGGCCATGGTTACAGCTCCACACTAATCTGACAACGTTTCCGCGCTTGAAGTTGGAAAATAATTGATCCTTTTAACCGTAAAATAATTAGAATTGTCAGCCCGGTGACCGAACTCTCCGGTTGTCGGCATTATGACTTATGTAACCCACTTCTGACCGGAGAGATGCCCCACCACAGTTGCGCAACAATCTTGTTCGTCAAGAGGTTCAAAGGTCAACCTTGGTTTGAACTGTGATCACGTGTCCCGAAATGTGGAGTGGAACCGCCGTCACACTTCTTTGGCTTTTGGGCACGTGCCGCTTTGTCACTTCAGTTTTTTTGAAAAGGCTGACACTTCAGAAGGTGAACAGACGGACAATTGAAAATTATTTCATCGTGTGAAATTAGAGGAATAATGTTCTATACAGGAAAACGGTGACCGAAAGTCTGTCAATCGGGTGTTTTGGGCGGTTCATCGTCTGCTAGTATGCACATGGATTGGAGTATGAAAGTGCCGTCACACAATCTATCCTGGACACAAATGATACGATTTGTGAAACATTTGCGCAAAAGGGTTCCCGAAGAAATCTGTTCCTGTTAGCAAGTCTCTGAAAAGGGTTTTCGGTAAATCTTAAAGCAAACCGTACACTCTTGACACCGAACTAGTAGGTTTGGTTAGGAGTGGTCACCATACTTACTCTCCGAATGTCTTTTTGAAGTTCAACTTGTACCAGGCACGGAGATGCGGTCTGATCAGATTACCTCAATTTCAAAATGCTGCGTTTTGGTGGACAGTCAAGTTAGCCGTGGTCACTAACGCAGAATGATCGTGCTACAGGTCAACGGTTTATTACTGACAGGCAGAAGCACATAACCGAGTTTTAATCAAATACCAAAAATCTCAATCAACTAGTAAAATTCGGTGACAATTCAGGAATCCTGCGTGCCACGATACGTGAAATGCAAATGAGAAAGCATATCGATAATGCAGGTGGCTAGATTGATGGGAGGCTACGTGGGCAGCACCAGTGCTGTGCCATATCATGAAGTATTCTTAGCCAGGTACAATCGTCTTCCTTAGGACTTGATGGGTCAGTGGAGACCGTCGGTGATTTCACTCATTTACCCAACGTCAGTCGCTTGCCACCGGATTTTTTGTTTTCAGTTGACCCTGCAATTACGAATGTATTAATCAAGGTCACCAGCGTTCAGGGATCTGCAGTACAAAATCCAGCCACCGCAGTTTGCGTCGCATCTGAGTTGAACTTAACGGGAACAAAAATTTCATAGATAAATCAATTATTTGTTCTGTACCGTTTTCACCATATGTAGCTGATGTTTCGCAGTCATCGGTGGTCAAGACACTCGACATACGATTTTCTTCTATCATCATGGCTGTAGAATGTTCTCTTATCGGTAAACTGATTTGAAGTCGGCGTAACTGGTAAATAGAGTCTACGCTGGTAGTTGGCTTGTTTTCTGAGCTGGGCAATTTGATTGCAAACGTTTCATCACCAATCGAGGTGACATCATCAGTACGTTATTGGGGAGCGTAGTGGTGCTTAGCGGTGGATTAGTGGTGGTGCACTACATGGTCGGACCACCATTCTTCATGATTGCTCCGTAAGAAAGTAGTTAGCCATATGCTGATCAGCTTACTAGTTTGTTTGTATTCATGGCCACGAGGAATATGCTCTATCGCACTCGCTGGTTAGAATGACCGGGTTAATGTAAGCGGAGCATCCCGCCTCTGAACAGTGAAGCCGCCAGTATAGGTAGTTACGGTCAACAAAGCCTCTCGAACGTATGAACATTCGCTTTTAATTCTGATGATGAAGAACTCGCTTCAGGACAACTGGATACAAGATATGTCTCTGAATAGAAGCTTTGAATCAGTGGATACCCTTGGGAGCTTCGGTTTCACGGCGTAGACAGGGGCATCTCCGTCCTCTTCTTCGTACCAACCACTTCCACCAACGTCGTCGTCACATTACCTTCAAATTATCACCAACTTCTGTTGTTGCTGCTGCTGGTGGTAAAAATGATGAAATTGAATACAAGCAATCATAAAGTAAGGTGGATAGTCTCTGAGTCCATTGGATCCCGCTGCTGGAAGATTTCCCTTAGTAGATCATACGAATATGCCGCATTTCACAACGGCCAACCAGAAGTAATAACATTTTGTACTTGCGATGGTTCTACAGCCAAACCCTTCTTGCCAAACCTTCGACAACTCAACACCTATAAGTGTCTAGATGGGACAACCAGCAAATTATTGACCCATGGCGAGGCCTTTTCCAAGCATCAACGTGTCAGAATTAAAGTAGTGTTTAGTGACTGAGGGTTTTCAAGAAGGTGATATCGACCGTCCAAAAGTTACTTGCTTCAAGAGATTTTGGATTACCAGGAGAGCGGAGGCTTGGTGACCCTTTACGACACGTGATTTTTCTTACACGTGACGGGCGATAATTAATTTGACTTTTCATTTATCATTTAGAGAGGAATTCGTCAAGCAATTGCAGTCAAAATTCATTCTGTTCAATCAGATTTGTGTAGAACACCAATCGGAATGATTGAGTTCGTCCAGAGTTTCTGTTTAAGGAGGTTTTCGTCAGGTGGTTTCAGCCGAATGCAGTGACTCACTGTTTATAGGGAACACCTACTCTTACTGAGTTATTTTCCCATAAATACTCCCAATAATGTTAAATTTCCGAATCGATTAAGCCGGTCGGCCCGCTCACAAGCAAATTTAGAAGCATGTAAGCTATAATGTAAGGCCTACAAGATGAAGATGGGCTACGTAACTAATTTAGGACAAGGTAGCTCATACAAGTATCACTTCAATCAAGTGACAGAACACCATTTACTTACGTTGCAGTGAACCTGAGGTCACCTACTCTTTCAAACCATTTGCATGTCAGAAGGGTTTTCATCGAAGACTTCTGCCCGACCTGAGAAGCTTGATTTAATCGGAAATTTAGTGGCCAGTTTGTAAGCGAACCAAGCTATTTGTACTCACATGGAACAGGAAAAAACTGGTGCTATCTATAGCACAAACCGTTTTTATAACCTTGCTTTATAGGCGCTTGCCTGAGCAAAGATGTATACCGAAAGCTGTGCACAGTAAAAATCGAAAATGCTGAGCGCCCTCAGGATGCTTTCCCGAGGTTTCCCAGGAAGTTTCCCCTAGTACTCACGTCAGGACAGTGATTTGTTTTCGTCTTTCACCGGTATACCTTTGGAAAAATAGGCATAAAATTTGCAAGGCATAACTTTGTACCTTTTGGATTTTCAGTACCGATGGACCGCATAGATGCACATGAGGATAGTGCATTCGGCGATTTCAAACTTGAGCAAGCCCTCGAAGGTCGAAGTCCCTCAGAGTTAACTCGGTGCAACGTGTTGCCAAGTCATGAATCTTGGAAAGGTCAAAATTCCGAGTTCACATCTTCTGCAGGTCACCCAAGCCACTCAAGCTTTTTGACCGACATGAGTTCGCCGTTGGTCTTAAACGAGTCTTCTTCGGGCGGAGAGACAAGCACTTGTTCTGGTCCTGTTCTTCCCGTTCTTTCCACTACGGACCCTAAACCCAGCAGTGGCGTGTGCCTAAACTACTTGGATCCAAACACAGTACAAAATTTGGGAATTCAAGCTTCTAATTTTCAAAGCAGAACCGATACTAGCGTCTATGCCTGTCATTGTGGAGAAGAGAGACTGCCAATTACCACAACCAGTGGTCAAAGGTCACACCTTCCACATGCTTTTCACAATGCCTGGCCACATGAGTCAACGGAACATCTGATGAACACCGCAAGGCCGCACCCGGAGTACCATCCTTTGGAGTATGGGTCTACATGTGACCCGGTATGCACACATGAAATTGAGGGCTCTATTCGTCCAGCATCATACTCCGGAACTATGAGTAAAATTGAACCAGACACCCAAAACCCACTTTCACTCAACCACTATGTGGAGCCTATGGATCCGGCTTATCCTTACGTCTACTCAACGGATAGTATGCAGAAGCACCCTTCCTTCCAAAGCATGTTTGATGCCAATCGGACGGGAAACATGCCAGCCAGTTCGATTACAAATTACTGCACTTGCATTGATTGCACATGGAACGAAAAGTTTAGTCCTCTTTCTGTTTTGACTCAACCTTGGCGAGACGTGAACAGAATCTGCAGTTATCCTGATAGGACACAGCAGAACACACTCAAGCTAGGAAAGTACCCCTGCAATCAAGTGGAACCCACAGAAGGGAATTATGGTACAAAAAATCATCTTAGCAACGCATATCCGTATGAGTTGTCATACTCGAAATATGAATCTATCACTCCTGTTCATTCGGATTCTAATCCAAGGCTCCATGACATCCATGAACCCTACCTAGAGGAAGCACCCACCTTCCCAATGGCTGCACTTACAGACAGTCGTGTTACAAGAAGACTCCGGACCAACTGTCGTCAATGGCAGTCGAGCACTCAAGTGGAATCCAAACGCTGGTCCGGTGGGCAAACTAGAGTGACGCTCAAACAATCGCCGAATTTCGAGACTGAACATCCACAGAAATTGCCTAGTTCAACTACACTGACGCAGCTTTTACCACCGGTTCCGATAGATGGTGCCTGTTGTTGGTTGGACCTCAAATCTCCTCCATTTCAAGCGATCAATATATGTCCTAGCTTATCTTTGAGTGAGAATAACTCACACTGTCCTATTCAACTCCGTCTTCGAGACTTAAAAGTGTGGTTGGAACTGTATACCTTTGGAACGGAGATGATTGCCACAAATACGGGAAGGTGGGTGAAATGGTTCTTTTTTTGAAGCAGCTTTTCAAAACACTTCTTAGAGTGATTGCTTAATTATCAAGTGTTCGTATTGTGCTACACGATGTACTCATAGGGAGTAAAGATAAATGCGTGGCATACATGGTTAATTCTCTTCACATGCTGACCTCCAATGTAGCATAGGATACTGAGTTAGGAAGCAGTTCTAGCCACATTGAACTAAAGAGGGCTTGTTGATAAAGCTTTCACAAATATACCATTTTTCTACCTAATGAATACGGCAAAACAAGCAAAAAGTGACAACCACCGCGAGAACCGAACTGTTCCGAAGCGCGCAACATTCCCTTAGAACTCAAAAATACGTTTAGATCCCTAGCGGAAATAAACGGTTCGTTTTGAACATTGTTACAGAGTAAATAACAAAAAGAAAAAAGTTTAGTTTTGGTTTTTTGAGTGAATATTATGAAACCTTGTCTTTTGGGGGCCTCTGAGTCTTAGACATCCGTATGATTTCATATTTGCGTTTCAATCAGCCAGGAGTCTCCGTCATTCTGTACATTCACCTCAAAACAAGTGAGAAAGGTGTCCGTTCCACGCCACTAAAAAAGATAGCTACCCTCAGCGTCGTTGAAAAAATTTTACTTGCATTGTCCGAATCATCATGTAGCAGATCTAGCGAACCGAATTGCACATTTAACTGACTTCAGTGCATAGAGATAGTAACATCTGGAGCGTTGCTTGGACCGTACGAACTAGTCATTAATTATTGTAAAATCGATAGGTTCCATTGGACGTCTCTCTTCCTCGACGTTTTTCCCACTTCGTGGGAGTGCATTTTTTGTACTTTTTGCGGCCCAAACCTAAATCTCATTGATGTCTTGACGTTAATCCCATGAGGACTTCGAAAATGCATTTATGAGAGTGATGCCATAGTTCCAGATGCATGATTTGCGACAGTTGATAACTTTCACCCTCATTTAATGAAACAAACTATCTTCACCGCTAACAATACAATGATTCCTCTTCTTGTGATGACATGCAGTAAACTACAAAAAATCAAAGTGGTTGAGGAAACGGGCGCCGACCGTCACCTGCATTCTTAAGAAACCCAGTCACACCTTTCCACTTCAAAATGTCCCCCTTGTTCATGATACCAAACTGTGAGGTCTTCCTAACTTCGAGAGTCATCTTCATTTTCAAATAATGCCTACTTTGTAATCCATTCGTCTTTGTGGAATCGATAGGTAGATTCCTGCGGAAAGGCACATGTTGGTAGTGTTAGAGTTACGCATGCATACTTTGACTGCATAGCGGCGAACTGGCAACTTGATAAATTGTAACAAAACCGCAATACATTTATTTGAAAACTAATTTGGTTTTGCGGGAGACTTACCTGGAACCCACAGGAATCTCTGGTTCATGATGTTTCCAGGCAACTGAATGTGCTTCGCCAGGCCGCCTCATGCTCCAGGTGCTACGATATTCACGATATCGCGATACATATATATATTCGTAATCCACTACTCATAACAGAGGCGGGTTTTGGCATCACCTACTAGTCAGTTGGTTAACACCGAGTCACCATTGCAAACACCCTTATTCGAGATCGAAAAAGTGATAGGAATTAGCTGAACGAAACACTTGTGAAGCTTCAACTGCTTGATTAACCAGCTGACCGAAACAATTTCCATCGCGTGCTCACCACGTTGAAGGTGCTCTCATTAGACTGTATGATTCCGAGCACAGCACGACAAAATCATGGTAGGCAATCGTATCCCGCCACCCTGTGTTGACTTCTATGTGAAAACACATGACAGATAATCATTTTATATTTTGACGAATTTGTTTTCAGTCTAACATGCCATACCAGATTATCTCACGCGAAGCTTCTGAACGTGTGTGACTCTATAATCTCTAATCCTGAGCATGATAGCCAGTGCTGAATTTGCAGCAGTTGAGAAGGTATGTCCTGCTTATTGCTTCCTACGCAAGTTCACTAGGCTTTTTGGCTCTCGAATGTTCACTATCCACCTGCGCTATCTAACTTTTTCTGATGTGCCACCAACAAGCGGGGTCAAGGCAAGATTATTCCGTTAATTTACACCTTCTATCAAGTCATACTAACTTATTTGGTCTGTCCTCTTGGAATTGTTCTCTCAAGCGATATGCCAGTGCAAAGCCGAATTGTTTGGTCTCACAACAATGAAGGAAACTCGTGATAAAGCATGAGCACACAAGCAGACAGGCGGATTAGTGCGATAGAAAATCTACGGTTTTCGCAAAACTGTCTGCAATCGCAGACAACGCGAAGAATGACATGGCGTAACACTGTAAGGCCTAAATCACCGGGGCTTACAGTGTAAGTATTCTTGGAGGCAAATATTATAACATTTGTCTGGAGCTAGCCCCTTGTCCTGCAGCTCCAGTGACGTGATGATGTACTTTCTAGAAGTATAATTTGTCCGAATAAACGTGAAGTCCCCAAGTGAGTTAATTGGACGTGAGCAGATTTTGAATAACCGCATCCTTGGCAATTCCGTAAAAAGAGTTACCATATAAGATCTTTAGACCAGCAACAGCCGGGATATCAACTGCAGATATTTGTGCTAAGTGCGAAGATTGTCAGAAACGTAGAAAACTACTTGGAAAATTGAACTGTTTTCGGAAAACTCAACCTTGTTTACAAAATGGATAACATAATCGCCAACATTCCACAACACTCAGGATCAGGTTTAAGAGTTGGTCGGATGAATCATTTGATTAACACAAGAAATCTCCACAGGAAAGTTTTTCCAGTAGAGAGCGCTCACCATGAGAGTTCATTGCAGACATACCTTATCATATTCCAACAGAATTTCCCACACCTGGACAGGCCATCATCCTAGAGAGTTCATAATGTTATACTTTTCCATCCTAAGGTGCACTACAAATNAAAATGGCCAGTAAGGTCAAGCAAATTCAGGACGAGTTCCATTGTGCCTAAACTGGAAGCAAAATTCACTTGATGACTCTCAGATGCTGCACTAAGAAACTTTCTTGAACGCTTCCACAAATTTCCGTGCAATTTTATCAAATACCTGGTAGATGTTTTTGGTTCAGATGCATCACCCCTGAGGAGAAGAGTGTTCTACTAAACAGGTGACTTACTCTACGCACTATACTGTGTTTATTCATGTATAGCTTGGATGTCAGGGTAGAATTCCTTGCTTTGTGTTTCTCAGGAGAGTATTCCCGTCGCTATCACTTCAAGTGTCCGGTCTGGACCCCAACGAAGAATACATTTTTGCATTGGAGATGCTGTTGGTCAGACCTCACATTTACAGACACCAAGCAGGACAGTGGGTGATCAGTTCGCAAACGGACGATAACAAACCAACAGAGCGATCGTGTAAGTGTGGGAACGATTTTGAAACCGGTCACTTAATGCTCCTGCTCGTGTTCCTATTTGTATCTCACCTAGGATGAAGTGACAAGCATTAGGCGAAGCGACTGATGCATTATAAATCGGTAGGTACAATATTCTCCTGAAGAGCTGTAGTAATTACGAGTATAATAAAAAAAGAACCCAGGGTTTTTCTGTCACAGTTGTTTACCTGTTTACGGTTGGCGATACTTGTTTTGGACAGTATCTATTGCATGCAGCATATGTGAATTCAGATTTACGACTTAATGCGGCATAGGCAACGACTTGACCCAGTGCGGTACCGGATAATCTTTTTTCCGTTTCTGCGCGATTTACATTATCCAAGGTCTCATGGGAACTAACTAACCATACCGTCTTTAAAACGACAGTCTATGAAGGTATGCTGCGGCTGATCGAAAAGGTTAGCCTAGTCGCCTGAGTTTACATTTGTTGGAGGATGGCTAAAAAGTTTTCCGTTACCGTCATTTTTTTGCACGTTGTCGCTTTTCTGTACACCGAATCTGTATGCTGGAAGGCACTGCTTTCAGTGCTGACTGGGTCGTACTCCTAAGACTGTTTGAAGGGCTCCCAGCATGGCACGATATGAAAAGAAGGAAAGTTGACGGACCTTTGAAACCAATAGGCTTGTAAATTCTTCAAGGCGTTCACTGTACGACTAAAAAGGCAACCCCTACTGACCAGTCATAGTGATTGCCGGATGGTTGTCTCATTCAATGGAGGTACCTAGAATGTGGTGATGAGAGGTAACAGTATGGACTGATGATTGAACTGGATAGGCAAATGGGATACTTATTTATCAACAGAAAGAATACTGTCTCTTTTGTTCGACAGGATAACTGATTGGTCGATAAAGCCAAGTTGCAATTTGTGCCAAATTGAATCACTGTAAAGTTGGTGAAACACTGAGCTCGCTTACATTTCGGCACCATTAAGAAATGTGACTCATTTCTAGTTAAGTTGTGTATCACCATTGCCGTTGGTGGATCATCTGTTTCTTTAATTCCAAACCAGAAATACCCTTTTACGAACAAGACGGCTCACTCATCAACCATGAACTAGGTATTTAAGACGTTTTTACCTGGCCTTCACAGAGTTTCGGCAAGTGCAGTGTACTCAGCCATGGTATTGCTCGTAACTTTGGAGCTTCCGCTTATGAGGGGACCAGGACCTATGTATCAAGGCTTCAGCCTTTTCTTACCAGAAATCCTGCTCGTTTACTTTGCACAGCTATTGACATTGCTTTTTCTCACAGTAGAAATCTGTGCTAGCACGTATTTTTGGCGCATTTCAAGACAACTCATAGATTTTGATGTTGAGGCCTTCAACTACAGTCACTTTGGTATGTGAGCTCTTGTTGGTGGAGAAACTCTTAAGGTTCGCTAATGAATTGCATATTCCTTCCTCTGGCTAATGGAACTAGCCTGAGTTACCTGTTACTTTGAAAGCCGGTGGTTTCGGAGTTGTTTGCTTAGCCCACGTTTTTTTGATCCAACCAATTAGAGCTCTACTGCTACATGATGAAGTTCGGGCATCTTTGAGGCATAGAGGTCAAGATTGTGTCGAAAGTGTGTGTGCACTCGATCATGTTGCGCGATGTCCTTAGGGTATAATCGGGATACTCGGGTGTGGAAGAACACGTGATACTGTCGAACCTACTCGGACACTCTAGTTTAGGCATTCTGGAGGGATGCGAACAAACGCGAACGACGCTGTTCATTGGCCACCGCTGCATGGAGCAAAATCCCCCTCATAGACCCAACGCACAGTCATGCACGGATTCATTTTTATCTGATTGTGTGTACCACGCGATGGCCGATATGGCACGAGAGTATTGTAAATTGTGTATGTACAAGGGATGAGATACTGTCAGAGCGCCCACACCTAGACAGGGGACGATTAGGGTCTTCAACGGAAGCCTTTGGCTCAAAAGCCTAACCGCAAGTCAGTGGGGTTGGGCTAGAAATGCAAGTACATTAGTATTTTTACGGAACACGTCACCATACATGTTCCAACCCCCAACGTGTAAGGCCAGGAGACTGTGTTCTTCAAACCTCTACCCATGGACCAACCTGGTACGAGAGACTCTGTGAGTGTCGCGCGGACGCCTCCCAGTGTAGCTCAATGGGTCGCCGAGGTACACAAACTGCCACACCACGGTAAGGTCCAGTCTCTTCGTAACGGACGGCAGTGAAGCATCACTGCCAACACTGATGTTATTGTCTTTGATGATGATGATGATGTTGTTGTTGTTGTTGATGATGATGATGATGATAATTTGTGTGTACAACCATGCAATTTTCTTGACTAATTCTCGTTCTACCGTCTAGGTGCTGCAAAGGCAATCAGCCCTCGTTATTTTCTACTATGGTGTGCGTAGTAAATGCTCTTCCACAGCATCAAAAACTCCGCGCTGCCTATTGTAATGCGCCCACTTTTCAGACAGGACGTTTGTGCTTTCTTCCCGGATGCAGTCTACCTTCGGGTGCATTGTGTTAGGATTAGCACAATGGTTGAATTATCTGGTTTTCAAGAATTTTGTACAGTCCGTGTAAATAGAGTAAGCATAAATCAGTGGCCAGTTCAGACAAAGAATCGCCTTTGTAACTATCTTGAGTAGACTGGGACTTGGTGGAAAGTTCTGCAGTCTGAATTGATCTATATGGGCCCTATGAATTCTCCATATCATTCAATATAAACCATGAGATCTCCTACTCGGTTGAAATGTTCCTAACAGCTACAGTGGCCTCGGTTAAAAGTCATTGCTTTATTATAACTTTAAGTGTGGAGAATGGTTCAGGCTTTGCACAAGTTACCGCAGAAATTGCGCGTCACCTACATTCTGTTCATGGTGGCTCCATAATGTTTGCAAAGTGAATTCGGCTTTTCGATATTGATCAGCAAAACAGTAGTGTAGAATCTTTGACGCATGCAGTAAAGAAAGATACTTGAACACAGGAATTTCAGGTGCCTTTCATGTGTATCATTTTGACATGAAGTGCTACGAGTGTTGATAACCTGAAACGCTACGGCTGCACACCTTCACACAATCTTGCCACTTTTTCAGTGTGACCCCGTCTTATCTTAAACCCGAGCGTTTCACTCGGTTTACCGATCATGTAATCCGTGTGTCAGATTCACACCCTGGATCCACCTGGATCCACCGCACACACAAACATGGATAACGACTGACGTCGCTTTCCCCTCGGGTTTGTGTGTGTATGTGTGTGGCAGACAAGTGAAGATCGTGAGCACCAGCCTGCCATCCATGGGGCACGACAGAACGCCATGATAACTGCGTCAGGCCATCAGGGGGGCACAGTGCGTCCTATCCTCTTAAGAGTATGGGACAGACAGACAGGTTGAGCTTCAGCTTCGATTTAGCGATGATCGCGCATGGACATGCATAAGTGGCGAAAACCTACCCAACACCGGCGACCGCACGATCGGTAGATATTGAAGGCCTTTGTGTGCGGTTAAGACGTGACGGAGCTTTTCGCTTTTTCAGCAGAATGGAAAGTCTCCCTTGAACCTGCACGGACTAAGTAAGCTTATCTAATACCGTTCCACGAGAGTTATCGCGAAAACATTTGTTTCTGGGTTGGGAAGTCATCAGACAATATTATCATTTATGCATTTCATCCCTCAATATGGACAACCACTTAAAAATTCCGGAAAACGCCCGTAAGAAATAATCAGAACCATGCATTTGAGATATTGTGTGGGCCCAGTTGCACAGTCCCACTAGGGACGCAGTTTCGGGGTAATTTTCCAAGTTAACTTAGGAACAGTTTAAGTGTTCACAAGCAGGCTTACATGCAATGTGAGGGAGTACAATGATTGGATCCAGAAAATTGCAGGCAAGAGGATTGATCGGATGAGGAAAATGCCTCTATGGTGATCCATAGAATGGATATGGTGCGTGATGCCATGCATTAGTGGAAAAAGCTTGGCACTGCTTCTATTGTATAAACAATGCAACCGACACTAGCTTTGCTTCGAAATCAGGTGTTTGTAGTTTGAATGTGGTCTTTCTTCCAGGTGAGACGTTCGTTAGTCTCTGCTGTGGTAAATTTTGTTCTTTACAAGTGTTTCACCGAACGGTTAGTTCAGTATTCGGTGTTCGCGACGCTATTGGTTTGTATGCTCCAAAAAAAGGATGCACCCTCAGGCCATATCATTGGGACCGTGGCATTCGCTGTGGATGTCCTCTGTAACTGCAGGCATTCCGCCAAGGATGTGTTGGAAGATCTGCTTCCATACAGAATGTGCTGTTGAATCGCGTCTGATTTTCTTTTAAAAACAACACAGATCCCCAGCAATGTGCATGACCCAAGACATAGTTTGAGTTGCGCGACAACCGTCCTCGATACTTATAGTTGAATTCATGGTTTGTTTTAAAAAGAGGTAATCACAGCGGAGCAGGTCACAGAAGCTCGAGACCCACAATTAGTCTGGCTGAGAGGTGGCTTAAGGCCTTCCGGTCATACACAATAATTTGCTGAAGTAATCTTCATGAAGCTGGAATGGATAAACTGAACATGGTTATGGGAGTTAAAATGTGGAGAGGTTTAAATAGTCCAAACGGACCAAGTGAGTGAGGAATTCTAATGCATACTTCGTCAATCACTGAATTCATCGACATCCATCGACAGAAAACATAAGTAATCTGACAAAAATATTTTTGCAACTGACGAACGCGAACGGATCACGATCGTGTCTTCACCCAAGTTCGGAAACCCAAGGTAGTCCGTTTGCCTACTCCCACCACATCTTTTCACGTTGATTACATATTCAAAACAAATCAGTAAAAAAAATTCATACATGTTACGAGTATTTGGCTGAAACTCACTGATATGACGAATGAAAGAGAGCTACCCTTATGGTTTGTACTGGCATGAAGTTTAGTTTGCCTGAAACCATGTTCCTTTGCTCACTAGTGTTATTGAAAAAAAAACTGGCATCCGTCTTGAATTATCCGTATTCCCTTTACCAAGCAGGCAAACGTTTGTATGTCCAAGAAGATTCGCCAAAATCCGGTGCCTACTGGATGGAGTCTGGGGTCAATTTCAGCAAGATGAAGATCACGAATAGCAAGCTGCAGAAGAATCCGTCAATGGTATGTAATTTACTAGTATTTTGATTGGCAAGATGCGACTTTTTGCACCCGATACCGATGCATCTGGAAGAATGAGGTTTCTGCTGACTAGGCAACAATTTATGTGATATGTGGTGGAGAAAATGAATCTGTCGACAAGGAGGTTCATCAATGTGTCTATTATTCTTTTCCGTCCATTTCTTTATTTGGGAAACCGCAACACATCTGGAATAATAATATGGTTTTTGTTATGAATTTGGTTGGTTTCCAAACAGGCCTGGAGTATTGATCATCATCATCATCATCATCATCATCATCATCATCATCATCATCATCATCATCATCATCATCATCATCATCATCATCATCATCATCATCATCATCGACAGCATGACATCAGTGTTCAACACCGATGCTTCACTGCCGCACGGTATTGATCAAGATATTTGTACCATCGTCCCATACAACAACTTCATCCATTTTGTGTTTTGTCATCTTCAGATTACTGTCAGCAGCATGCGGCAGTACATACCACGATTTAGTGTTTTCCGTATGACCAGATCGCTGGTGAATAACCTGGATGGATCTGGATACCGAATCAGCACCGCTGGCTGGAAGAACGCCCAAAACATTCCGGAGCTTGTTGGATCGTACGTCATCCCTGGGACACAGTTCTATACTGTGACTGCTTACCAAAATCCCGATGTGATACGGGTGAAAATAGACAACAATCCGTTCGCGAAAGGCTTCCGAAATCGAAAATTTACGAACGAATTCGAGGATTTTATCGGGACAAAGGCAGATACCATAAAAAATTACGCGGAAAATTCATCGGTTCTAAAACATTAACCTGATATTAGCCAGACCATCCTGTCGATATATAAGGACAAAATGATGGGCTGTATTTACTTCATTTGAACCAGCTTTAAAACAACTTGCTGAGAGATCACGAAGGAATCATGTTATTGCGCCTTCAGGGAGAACTGAAGAATCCCGTTTTTATACTGTATATATATCTAGGTTTTGTACACTGATTCTAACTTTGTGTATACATTCTTACCAAACCAAAATTACATTTTATTCACCATGCTAGCAGTTGTTTCTTACCAATAATTCGTTAGCGCCCAAGGGATTTTCCTAAAACTGGGTGTCTTCATCCAGATTCATATAATGTAATTGATGGTTCCGATCACCATTTGAAGTCTTGGTTCATATTTTGCACAGACAAAACATTCAGAGTCATTTAGCTCATTTTGTTGCATCAATATCACGTAAGAAAGACGTAATGCCACTCTTCCGAAGCTGCACAAGGGCAGTTGAAAAGTCAGCGTCGGGTTAGTAATACAACCCTTGTACCTGGTGCTGTCTGCTTGTTTCTCTGAAATCCATTGATCTCTGGCGGACGGAAGCTGTTCTGTTGTAGTTGCTCCCAATTCATGGAACGCCCTGAACACATTTGCGGATGTCTAATTTGTGATTTGGTCGCGATTGCTAAAAAGGTTATGTGCTTGTAAATATTTGAACGGGTTTTAACTGATCGGATGTGACGTTCGGGTGTATAGGCGTGAGGCGCAGTGAGTCATCTTGGTGGCTCAGCCAGCAGAGCGTCTGTCCGATAGTCAAAAAGATTACCAGTTGAGCCATCTCTACATTCAGGGGAAAAGTAACTTAATTAAATGAATATCACCCCAGTAGTCTGGATCAAGGTTGGCCTACACTCCCTGAAAAGTGGGCAAAATATAAATATTCATCATTCGTGTCGCGCAGAACAGCGTGTTTTGGTAAATGCCTTTACGATTTCATCATTTCGACCACAGTAAATAACTTTTATCAACATTTATCAGAAAATTGTCTTTGGTTATCTCTAATCTAAACGTCACCCATGCTTTTCTCTAGAGGAAAATTTTGGTAGCTCAGATGGTAGCGCAGATGGTCGTTGGCTTGTTCGCTCAGCTGGGCAAATAACGCACTGATGGTGTCACCTCGATTGGTGATGAAACGTTTGAAACCAAACTGCTCAGTTCAGCGAACGGGTCGACGACCGTCACCCACGCTGTTAAGGTATGGCGTTGAGGGTCGGAGTTACTTACCGACGGCATACCCATGTTAAGGTTTTATCTGCACCCTTTTATTCAGTCACGACGTTCCTTGCCAAAAACCACAAATTGATGTCCTCAAAAAGTTCTGGCTTGATGAACAATCTCCTGGTAAACCGATTAATGCTGAAATCAAAACTACAGGAGCCAGCGAGGCTTATGACACATTTGTTATCGATGGGATACACCTGAATTTTTATGTAAACCGATGCTGTATTTCGTAGGTAACATGAGTAATGATGTTCTGCTTGGCTTGCGGTGCCAATAGGATTTATTTGAACCAAATACTTCGTGCTTCGGAAGAATGATAGAAGCGATCTCAGAATAATACTTTCACCAGGTGTGTTCAACGGAAACACTTTTGAAGGAAAACAAGAAGCTTACGTCTGTTTGCAAAATGATTGACATCTTGATATAGGAAACATATCCACTGGTGTAGATCTTGGCGACAGAATTAAACTCATGGGTATTTTTGGGTGGTGACATTCATCAGGCTTAAGATATAAGATCAGTTGCTTCAGATACGTTACAGATAGGCTACATTTTAGCCTTTTTTCAAGAACATATTCCAAACGGTTTTACGTCAAGAAAACTCAGTTAACTAAAAGAATGGGCGATAAACTTACGTGTGGTTCTCGGTTCCGAGAGGTTTGGTAAACAATCGGTGGATTTTCACAAAGGAAACTACTCACAAGGTTGCTGAAAATTCGTCGACAGCCCACGACCGGTTTCGTCCTTCTTGGGGCTCATCAGGTAGGCGCAGTCCCCGAGTTTCCGTCAACCTTATATTCTACTTGAATCCAAGTTGGACTGTTTTCGAGAAATACGCTCATTTGAAAATTAATTTGGTTCTCACGAGAGACTCAACTGAAACTCTCGTTTATGATATTCTACAGCTGTTGATTCGTTCACATACTCTGGTCACTGGTGGGTAGCTAGTTCCCTCTTAGTCCACCTTACACGAATCCTTGAGGTCAGACTTTCAATGTGTGAAATAACTGCTGTGCACATTATCAGGGCGGGGTCAGGCACGCAAGTTAAAGGTGTCGATCGTTTACAGAATCCCCCGAAGTGGCGATTCACACCCTATCCACTTGAGCATCGGTGGCAAATCGTTCACTCACCCACACTTGAGAGGAGTAATGATTGGGAAGGAATAATTGGATATGGTGGGTCAACTTTGATTCAGCTTGATTTCGGCTAATTTGGCTAATCTGGAAGAAGTGTATATTTTTCAAAAGTTCAGAATGCTCAACCTCGTCCACCTGACATCCTTATCCGGGCTACAAAAACTTGCCCGACGGTTTTAAGTAATAGGCTCGAGCGATGTCCTTTATTCCAGTTTTAAAATGGACATGCAATTGTATTTTGTGGGGACGTCCCTCTGTTGCCTCCAAATATAGCGTTGTACAGTATTTCAACCTAAGCGTTATTACATTATTTTTCCTTTGTGCAAACGTCCAGTACTGCAGCAAGTTGTCTACCGGACGCATAATGTTTTTTCTGGACAGAGATAATGAACACGGAACTTCAACTGTCTTCAACACTTGGTTAACGATATGTCAGTTGGCCGTAGGACGCAGTATATAATCACACCACTCACTTTGACCACAGTCCTCCAAAAATCAATGACACCGAATCCATGGAAGCCAGAAATATACTGACACACCAGCAAAATGTGCACTTGTGCCTGATGCCAGAGCTTGCCGAACGCACCAGATGGGCTATTTTCTTGCTGGCTAGTCAGCCTCCAGTACAAACCCAAAACAGAAATAACTAACCTGGATGTACGTCTTTACATTTCGGCAAAATGATAAATATCGGGAAATCGACAAAGATGGTGTCCTTGTTTCCTCTACCGTCAGGATAATTACCCCGCCAAAATTAACCCCACTCTTTCCGTGAAATGTCTCATAAATTTTTTAAAGGGCCAAATAACCTGAGTTAGAAGGCTCTCAACTAACAAAATGCGCTAAATGTTTTGAATTATGTTCGGGAGCTCCGTAGTAACAATGGATCTTTAGCTGATGCCCTATGATTTCACAGAAATATGTATAAGCATGTGCTTTGCCACTCAAGTTCACAAATACAGTGCAGATGCAACAGTGTGCCGCCGAGAATTCCGACAGAGGTACTTGTACGAATAGATGACAATATTAACACTGAAGTTCTGAATGGTAGTCAAAGTATCATCAACTACGTACCTCTTGTTATATTAACCTTATCTGATTCTCCACGCATACTTTTTCTGGATGTCACTTGGAATTCTGAGGTGAATTTCAAAGTAAGGTGTGACCAATCAAGTTATAACGCAATGGTGACCTGTCCAATTTACAGCGACCTGGAAGATGGTCCTGTGGTGATGTTATGTTCTAGAGGAAATTGGATCCATGAAGAGTAAATCAGTGAATCTGTTAACACTGTCCAACACTAGGCGGCCAGATTAGAACTCTGCGGGACTGTTTGACGAATCGGAGAAAGCAAGCATGCCAGCTTTTGTGACAATGGGGCTGATTCAGAAGCTATTTTCTCACCTCCAGTCAGCTGCCTCGAGCCACAAGTGCCGCATGCAGCCATTTTTTCCAACTTATTGGTCATTCCGATGACGTAAAGAATTACAAATCCATGGGAAGAGAGCCCGTCCATCTGATACGCTCAGTGATGGGGAGCAAAGGGATGCAACTGTTGTTCTCAGTCCATGACCCTTCCGAGCTGTGAATACCCTGATCCTCTACAGAATAAAAAGTCAACTAGTGACTGTTTCAGGGTGATATATCTACTTTTTATAGGCTGCAGATGAGGTAGTGCACAGATTTTGCGAATCCATTCCGCGTTTGTAACACTTGATTCTCGATCAATTGCACTGTCAGAAATGTTTTAGCTTTGCCGATCGAGTTACACAGAGACGAGCAGTCCTTCTATGAGTTTCAGGAATCTGGTATCTTCAGGAGAGGATGCACGAATACTTCCGATCTGTACCATAGTTGTGTCTGCCTGCCGGCTTCTATAACGGGAACGAGTCGAATGCACTTTCAGCGACGAATCTTCCAACAACTGCATGTGCCTTTTTAACCACTGCAGGGACTTTGTTTGGGAAGGCCTTACTGGATGAGAAACACAGGAGAGGTGTTTTTAACTGTTTGTCCGGTTTTGATTCTTAAGTAAAATACTCGGAACGATTCGAAAATGTCGTCTATCCCTTTACGGTGCAAATGAAGCAACGTTTATTACTGGTTGTTCATCAGGTGGCTGTTGATCTGTTCACCAAGCTTGGCCATTGGCTCGGCGAACAGATCAACAGCCACCTGATCAACAACCAATAAACTCACCCGAGTTACCAATATTTCAACACATTACCAACATTTACTACTTATAAGAGATCATGCACCTCTAAGATATTCAGTCTACTCTAAGTGAATTTCCTGTCTATACAACCCCGGTCAATGGCAGCTTCAGCTTTTCTCTCAAGTTTCCCGGGTTTTCCATTCTCCATATACGCAGATCAAAACAATCACTGGGAAGGAGCACACTGGGGGTGATATGGAGGAGCGATAAATGTCAGTTCACCAAGAATATGTGATAACGCTAGGCCCGTTTGTCGGACATGTCAACGGCAGATATTTTTGCAGCGATGCTGAACACTTCCTCTGTGGTGGTCGGACCGATAGGGCCAATTCGCGGTTATTCATGTTGTCGTTTGAGGATGAAACAATTCGACGATAATTCCCTTTTCGCTCATAGATTTTGAAAGTA